GCTGCAGCCAGCTTGCAGTGCTGCACCTTAACCTGTGGCATCACCAGGGAGAGCCTCCCAGGACTACTTCTAGGGGCAGGGCTGTCTCCAGAGGCAGCTCCCAACAGCTTTTGAATGATCTAATTTCTCTTCAGAAATGTGTTCAAACCATGGTTAAATTTAAAGGAAAGAGAAGAGGGCTTAATTCTGTGTCTCCTTTTGGGGAATAATCGATCTTGATAATCATCAAAATCAGTCACTTGGGTATCTTACTAAAATATCTATTTCCAGGTTCCTCCTGAGAGAGTCTGATGTTGTTGGTTTGGAATTCACCCCAGGCAATCTGTATTTTTTTAAAAAAGGTTTATTTATTTATTAAGGACTGGGACACAGATCAGAGGTGCAGGGGCAGTGAGGGGATTCACCAGAGACAGAGTGGGGAGCAGAACAGGCAGATCAAGGAAGTACACTTGCTGAGGTTGAGCAGCGGGTGGGTCAGGAGAGGTCTGCTGCACCATGTTACCTCCCTGGCCAGGGATCAAACTCATGTCTGGGAACAGCTTCATGATACTGTACTTTAATTCATTGCACCACCAGGAAGGGCCCACAATCTGTATTTTTTAAAATAATATAATAATTTATTTTTCCATCATTTTGTGCATTTTTACAATCTGTATTTTTAACAAGTACCTACGGAGGTTCTGGTGGTAAACCAAGTTGGCCCATTTTGCAGATGAGAAAGCCAAGGAAGGCTCAGAGAAGAATTATCTTGCCTCAAATCACAGTCAGCCAAACTTCCTCTAAATCCTATGATCTATAAGAGGGAATTCATGGGGCTCTCCCTCGTGGTGCAAAGGGTAAAGTCTCAGCACTATGAAGCTACCTCCAGCCACTGCAGCATGAGTTTGATCCCAGCCAAGGAGGTGACCCACGTAGAGTGGTAGACCTCGCCTGTCTCTCCTGCTGCTTCCCTCAGCAGTGTATCTCAGTTGATCTGCCTGTTCTGTTCTCCACTCTGTCTCTGGTAAATCCTCCCCTCACCTGCCACCCTGGCACCTTTGGCCTATACCCCAGTTCTTGTATGCATAACTAAATAAAAAATCTTTTACAAAAATAACAGGGCAGACATTACATTTGCTAGCATAAGCTTATAAAGCAGAGAGCCTCTCTCCATGTAGTACTGAAAATTCTGATGGGGCTCTTGGCATATATCCCATCATCCCTTTCCTTTCCCTAATTTCCACTGAAGGTAGTGAGAATACCTGTTGTATTAATTTCCAAAGGCTACTATAACAATGTGTGGCTGTCCTGGTGGCTTTAAACAATAGAAATTTATTCTTTCATAGTTCTGGGATTTAGAAGATCCAAATCAAAGTGTCAGCAAGACACCTTGCATGGGAAGGTGGGGTAATCTGCTCTATGCCTGTACCTTTTGTTATTTTCCAGTAATCCTTGCCATTCCTTGGCTTACAGCTGCATAACTCTAACCTCTACTCCACCCTCAATGCTGTTTTCCTCTGTGCATCTGTCTGTCTTTTCTTTTCTTACAAGGACAACCAGTCATATTACAGTAAGGGTCCATACTACTGTGGTATGGGCTCATTTTACATATTAACTGTATCTGCAAAGATCTCATTTCCAATTAAAGTCACAGTCACAGGTATAAGAGGTTAAAGCTTCAATATATCTTTGGGGGGGGGATACAATTAAACCCACAATATCTATGTTAATCAGGAGGTGTCTGAAACATCACCAGACGTCCCAAGTCCAATGTACAAACCCAATCACCAAGGTGACCCCAGTTTTTTCAAAAAACAGGTAGAGCCCAGTGGCCCTGATGGGCAGAGACATTGTAGTGGAGATGAGGGATGCTTTGGGGTATGTGTGCACGTGGCTGGGTAGCCAGGATTTTGATGTAATATTAGAGCAGTTCAGAAACTTGTTTCAGCCAGTCTTTAGTCATTCAGTCAACAGCTCTTTTGGCAGGAGCTGGATAGGGTGGAAGGTAGGCCAGATCCATTTTATAACAGTTTCTATCTTAGCGGATTGACTGACAATCAGAGAATACTAGTAATGAGGACACAGTTACGAGCTATGATCTGTGCTCTAAAAAGAAACCAGGGTCACCAAGGAGATACTCCAGTGAGTAGATTGTCCTGCTTCTTCCTTCCTTTTCACCTCCCTATTTTCTTCTCCTACTTCCTCCTTCCAATACCCTTCAATTACCTAGGGAGGGGTTTTAACTCAAGTGAAAGAGGAAACTAGTGTGCCCCTAGTGGCCAATGTAGGCGTAGCAGTGGTCCAAACTGCAGCCCCTGATGGAAGGGTCAAGTCTTCTGTGCAGTGAACGTGCCCTGGTAGCTTCATGGCCAATGGACAGCAGCTCCTAAAGCCTTACCAGTTGGAAGCTATGGACACCCATCCCCCAATTCTGCCATCCCACCCACTCCCACAAAATGACTTTCTTGTTTGACCCTTACATAGCGTGACCCCTGGGGTATCAGGGAGGGAGGGGAAGTTCTGGTCAGCTTAGGGTTTATGTCATAAGGAAAGCCTTCCTCTGTCCTGGCTGTAGTGGCAGTGATATCATACCAAATCGATGTCCATCTCGGTCGCCATGACCACCGTTCTGTCTCTTATCTCCATGTAACCTGTGGGATCCAGTCAGACCCTTTTCAATCCACCTCCCATCTACCTATACAGGGACCAGGGGGAGTCTTCTCAAATACCATCAGACTGGGGCATTCCCTGGGCAACACTGGCCACCCATTTGTTTCAGAGAATCATGGAATCTCTTAGCTTTTACTTCAAACAGTGAACTTTAACATATTATTGTTTCATGTCATTTGTATTTTATGACAGTCCCTCTTCCCAGATATTCTGATGGTGGGCTTTTAGAGGTCAGGGACCTTGTCTATATTATCATACTTATAATTTTCCCAAATGGATTTTGATTATATCACCTGGGAGTGTGTGCCCTCACTCCTACCCCTAGGGTGGAATACCCCAAGGAAGGGCCTAGGAAGCTCCAGGCCAAAGGTCACTGTTGGAAAGAGGGGATCTCACAGGAGGCTTCCCAGTCTCTTCCATTCTCCCACTAGTCAGGTCCCAAGGTGAGCCATATCTAAGTTCTCCCCTAGCCCTGCCTTCTCCACCCCTCTCCCTTCCAGGACTTCTCAGGTTTTCACCTCTCAGGGTGAGTATATAGACATCTGTCACCTTCCTTTGGAACCTGCTCATGGGTCAAAAGGGTGGGAGGATGGGGCAGTGAGGCAGGGTGGGGTGCTTTTGTAGGCTGGGGTCCACTGGCAACTCTCAAAAGTCAAGCCAGGAACCAAACCTTCTGGGATAGAGTTGGGGTGCAGAGAAGAGTTTCATAAACTGCTTTCTGAAAGTCAGCCTACCATGGGGGAAGGTGAAGGCTCAGAGGGTAGAAAAACAGCATCCGTTCTCCCAACATCCAAATTATAATAAAAGTATGATAATACAGACAAGGTCCCTGACCTCTAAAAGCCCACCATCAGAATAGCTGGGAAGAGGGACTGTCATAAAATACAAATGACATGAAACAATAATATGTTAAAGTTCGCTGTTTGAAGTAAAAGCTAAGAGATTCCATGATTCTCTGAAGCAAATGGGTGGCCAGTGTTGCCCAGGGAATGCCCCAGTCTGATGGTATTTGAGAAGACTCCCCCTGACCCCTTTATAGGTGGGAGGTGGATTGAAAAGGGTCTGACTGGATCCCACAGGTTACATGGAGATAAGAGACAGAACGGTGGTCATGACGACTGAGATGGACATAGATTTGGTATGATTTTGTTGCCATTACAGCCAGGACAGAGGAGGGCTTTCCTTATGACATTCAGGCTGGAAGGGGACATGCTTGAGCTGATTCATCAAAAAGCCTGTGCAGCCTCCCCACCCTGACAAGCATGTGTACGAACAGGTCTGGTGGCCACCACCACACAGCACCTCAGAACTAGTGGTCTTGGAAAGAACAAAAGACCCTTTTCAGAACAAAGACCAGACTTCCCTTAAGCATCTACTATGCAGGACATTGTCCAGGTTTTAGCAATGACTTCACACATGCAAGTCCCGGACCAGTGCAGGAAACTTTAGTTGTCATGATAGTTTCTTTTTTTCCATTGTTCTTGGGCAAATTCAGAGCTAGACAAACACACCCCAATCCCCTTAGCCAAGCCCAGAGACTCATCAATGAGCAAGAAAAGAGGGCTCACTGATCCAAAGTTCAAGTTGAGATATGGGGGTGGGAGACCCCCTGAGGGCCCCTCCTGTCAGTTGCAGAAACCTACCACTAGTCACCAGCCAAAGGATTTATTTTAGAGTTCTGCCAGCAAAATTACTTACATTCTCCCCCATCTCCTTCCCAGGTTGCTGTTGATTTGCATAGGTAAGATCTGATTCTGAGCTCCTGGGGCTTTGTGCCCCACTCACTTGCTTGAGCTTTTCTAGCACAGTATCCCTCTCTCCCACCCCACCACCAGCTGATTTGGAGTTGGGCAGAGAGGCTTAAGATGCTGTTATCTTTCAACAAACAGCTGTGCAGGGCTGAAGCAGCAGCTTATCAGGAAGCCTGCAGTGATTCACAGCCCAAGTTCCAGCTTCTCTGCTGAATAGTAATTTCCAGCAGTGGATTTGTGCTCAGTCTCTCTCCTCCCCCTCTCCCAAGGGTGTGATGTCCTTTCTCAGAAAGCAAGCACTGAAGGGGTGATCCTATCAATGGGGTGGGGGGGTGGGATAAGGGGCCTTTGTGGCAGCCTTCTGGACAAGGCTTATTCTACTGGCAGCAGGGTGCAGATTTAGGGCCCCCAGCAAGGGCTGCAACCCTTGGCACCCTCCTCCCCCACCCCCCTCAAGTGAGTTCATGGATGCTCTCCAACCTTCCCCTCTCAGAGGTTTGTGCGATTCACTCTCCCTTAGTGGCAACACACAAGGGGCCATAGGCCCCTTCCAGCCACAAGCTCCAGGCTGCAGCCAGCCAGGACCAGTTGGGGAGAGAATCCAGCTCCCATCCAGAAGACTCCAAAGGCAGAGGGCAAAGGAGGGAGTGAGACACAAGGGGGCAGGCCAGAGGAGTATCTGCACAGGCAAGCAGAAAAAAACCTGGGGGACAAAGCCATTTTTGTTCGTTTTATTGAAAGCAAGACTTCAGCTGTGGGGCTCATGGGGGTTGGCATGGAGACTTTTGTCCTGGGTCTCCCCTCTGGATCAGCATGTGCAAAGGGGGATATTAAAAGAGCTGAGTTCCTGGAGATGCGCCTGCCACCAAAATCTCAGGAAACTGTCCTGGGGTGGGGGCTAGCATAGGGTCTCCCACAGGTTTCTCGCTCTGGCTCCCTGCTGTCAATAGCAAGGGTGGGGTTGGGGTGGGGTACTTATCAAAGAGCGCTCCTCCGGACCCCCTTCACGCATGCTGGGTGCCTTTAACTCTTGGAGTCATGAGAAAGGCTTAAGATTCCCCCTGCCCCTGGTCTGTAAGATTCCTTCCTGAAGAAGATTCCAGTATGGCTCAGAAAAGCTGAAGGTAGGGTTCTGAGTCTTTAGGCAACATCGGTGAGGAACAACAGCCCCACGAAGCTTCCCTATGGTCTCGTGTCCTTTAGGGTCCATGCTACCAGTCTGATGTGCCATGTCCAGGTTCTGGGCTCCAGAGGAACGAGGCGTGAAAGGCTGGAAGTGCATCTCAAGGTCAGGGCACGGAGGTAAGACCCAGCCTGTCCAAGTGGCCCGAAGCCGGGAGTACTCAGTCTGTCCGGCCCTCTGGCGCTGAATCTGGCTCAGGCTGTGACCGCTTCGCCGGGCCTTCTCCAGCTGCGGGGTCCCCTAGACTCCTCTTGGACGTCGGCGCGGATGGCTGGGTCGAAGGGCCAGGATGGGGGTTCGGGGGCTGGTAGCCAGGCTGGCGCGGATCCAGTGCATCCTTGGAAAGTAGGATGGCGAGGCTGGGCACGTTCTTCAGAACGCTGAGACTGGCCGCCGGCTCTCCAGGCTTCTGACTCGGTGCGGGCCCTGGCGGGAGGCTCTGCCACACCTCGCGCACGCTCCGGTAGCGCAGCCGCGTGACCTGGTGCAGGCCCGCCAGGCGGCGCTTGAGGATCTCCGCGCACGTGACGGTCTTGGTGGTGGCCCGACCGCAGCCGCTGAAGACGATGGCGCGCGTGGCCGGCTGCGCCATGCTGGCGGTGGCGAAGGCCAGCAGGTTCCGGATCTTGCTGCCCTCCTTGACTCGCATGTGCACGGCGCCGGGCGCCAGGTCGGCGAAGGGACCGGATCCCGGGCTGTCCCCCTCGGCCCCACCCCCCGCCGGCGCCTCCTCGGAGCGCACCTTACGGAAGTTCTCCATGCGCCGTCGTTGCCGGGACGCAGGGACGCGGGCCTCGCCATGGGGCGGCCTCAGCCCCTGGACTGCATGGCCGCAGGTCGCGCCCGGCCAGGCTGGCCCGCAGGGGTAGGGTGAGCAGCGGCGTGGACGCTGGCGGCCGGGCTAGGACGGCTTGATCTTCATCTCCCACTTCTCTCCAGTGGGCGATGCTCCACTCTGCGCTCTCTGCGCCGGGTGCTCGCGGCCTTTAGCTGAGGCCCCGCCCGTGCCGAAAGCCCCGCCCCTCCCGCCTGGCACCGCCCCCAACTCGGTCCGGCCCTCCTCGTCCCAGCCGCCCCCGCCTCCCACCTGGCCCCGAGCTCAGCTGCAGGGGTGTGGAAGCAATACCCACTGTGGGGGTCTCTTGGGGGGGGGGGCGAAGTTCCTCCTGGTCGCCGTCAGCCATGCCCCATCCCCCGCCAAACCTTAAAAAACAGGCAACCTAAATAGAACTGCGTTTGCGGTGCAAAATACCACTTCAGCCGGGTTCCCGAGTCCTTGCGCGTTCCAACTGCAGGCTGTCGTCGTCCCCTCCCAAGCAGAGATTTCTAAGAAACCTGCTGATCCCAGAAGACCCTCTCCTACCCTTTGGGAGAACTACCTGTCCCCCGTCTCCGCCCCTTCCTCACCTTCCCAGTTGGTGATCTCGCCTCAAGGACAGCTTGTGCATGATCAGCAGAGTGCGGGCGGCGCCAGCTGCGGCTCCACTCGCGCGGGTCCTCGGAGGACTACGTAGCGGCGTGGTCCTCGCGGGGCAGCGGCAGAATGAGGTTTCAGCTTCGCCACACCTGACCGGAACTCCAGGTCCCGGAGCCCGGTACACCACTGCGGGTGGCAAGTAAGTCTTAGCTGAGGTGGAAGAGGAGATCCTTTCTCCAGGGAGTTAAACTCCCTTCACCCTTGCCTGCAAGTCCGGTTAGAGCTACACGCTTTAGGGCAAGCTAGGCATTGTTTCCTCTAAAGTGGATCTCCCTTCTTCCCAGCTGGAAAGCGTTATTAGTCAACCTTGCCTCCCAGAGATGATTAATGAAAATATAGGTGAGGTGGCTTTTCAAAGATTTGCAAATGGGAGGGAGGTGGCTGAGAAGGACCTGGACACTCCCTAGAAGTGCCATAGGGCTCGACATTCATCCTTCCGCACATACACGCCCCACTGGCCTACGCACTGTTAGAAGGGAGTGGGGCAAACCTAATCCGAGTGGGGGGTCACTAGGGTGGGTCACGGTGGGGAGAAGTTCAGAGCGCTGGCATGGGCAGGGAAACCTGAAAGCACCGGAACAAGACAATGCTGGGGGAGCTGTGCCCCCAACTTCCAGTGGAGCAGGGGAGGTCTCCCACTCATTCTTCACATCTGTCCTAGCCTTGTAACAGGTACAGGTTTCATGGACTCCGCCCCTACTCCAGATGCTGGAACTCCAAATCCCATCAGTACCAAGAAGAAGCACGCCAGGATGTGAGGGTGGAGCTGAGCAGCCAGGTTGGGATAAAACTGGACATGTGGGCTCTGGATTGGGACCTGGTGGTTCACAGCTGATCGTTTTGGAGCTCAATCGGTTTTCAGCGTGCAGGTGAAGTCCAAGTCAGCAGAACTGGTAGGACATCCTAGTTAACCTGTATTTCTCTCCCTCTTTCCCTGGGTTATTCCTTTACCTTTCTCCTTATAAATAAATCCATTATTTAACCTTTTGAGTGTGTCCATAATATGACTGAATCGTAAGCGCACGGGTGAAGACCCACAGACAGGCAACCCAGTTCACATTGGGGTGCCCTGTAACAGCCTCTTCAGCACCCTGTAATTCCTAACTCTATCCCAGTTGTGCAGAACCTGGGACTAACCACATTACCGCCCCTTGGTTGTCAGGAACAGGTGAACCTTGGTGCGCCAACGTATAAGCGACGGACACCGCACTGATCTTCTGCTCGAACCCTAGGATTGGGGTCTCCGACCCTGTTCTGTCGGGAAATTGGTATTCGGCTCACCTCCGGCTCTCGCGGGTCCCACCAGCAACAGCCACCAGAGCCGGAGGCCTAACTGTGCAGCAGCGCATGGTGGGGGTGAGGAACTCAGGCTTTGTAAGGCTAGGAGTGGTTGTAGGACTTAAAGGGCGGAGGTGGCTCCGAGGTCAGAGGGAAAATCCGGGAACGCCAGGCTGGAAGCATTGTTGGAACCGACTGATTAGGAAGGAGTCGAGAGTCGAGCTCTCCATCCGTGGGATGTGCAAGGCTAGGCTGAATGTTTACTCGGAGGGGGTGAACGCCGGGCTTGGCGGTTTGGAGGAAGGGGCCTGGGAGCTCCGGATAGGTTTAGGTGAGAATGGGGTGCTTCTGCGGCAGCATGGGTTGGCTCCCGAAAGTGCCGCCCAGCCAATCCGCCCCCCACCCCCCACCCCTGGCTGCGGCTGAAGACCCCGCAGACTGCACCCCTCACCAGAAGAGAGGCGTCCAAGAGGCCCGCGCCCCTTCCCGCGGGTCCCCTCCCATCTCCGCTCTCTCTGCAGCACTTAAAATGTAAATGTACAGCGTGATTAGCTGCGGGGTCGTTAATTACCGCTGAAGCCATTCATTAAGCTGTCAGCGCGCTGGGTAAACAGCCGGCTGTGTGCTCTGG